CTGCCTCAGCCTTCCAAATAGCCGGAACTACAGGTGCTGCTACCACACCCGGCTAATTTTTTTATTTATTGTAGAGATGAGGTCTCACCAAGTTGCCCAGGCAGGTCACGAACCTGCCAACTCAGGCAATCCACTCACCTCAGCCTCCCAAAGCGCGGGATTACAGGCTGAGCTACCGAGTCCGGTCTGTCCCTGCTCTTTTCCACTCCATATCCAGTTTTTTTCACAACTCCTGGCCTCATTGGCCTTTAGAGACTTCAGGCCCAACACCTGATGCAGAAGTGTTAGGGTTGCATGTGTTTCTCCACCAACTTCCATAGTTGCACAAAGTCTACTACTCCTTATAATAAATCCTTAGTTTTCCGTTGCTTATAGCATTTGCTTCTCTGATTGAACCTTATAGTAGAGGTTTGTTCGAGCCATGTTAAGGGCCCAGAACATGCAGTGATTAGAAACCAGAAGATTTCACAGAAGAGGAGACATCTGAGCTGCTTCTGAATGGACGAGTGGGAGGTGGTGTGTATGGAGTAGGTGGGAGGAATTCTATTAATAGAGAACAGCTGGCTCAAGCCAAGCAAGTGAAAGGGCAGTGAGGAGTTCTGCCTTTCTAGAACTGTCTACTCATGGGTCCAGAACATAGGTGGAAAATGAGCATCTGATTCTAGCTCTTCTGGTCCCATTGAAATGAACTGTTGACTGACATGTTTCTTAGATGTGGTCATCCTTACATATACTGGCATCCGCTGAAATACATTCTTGGCTCTGTTGTCACTACCCGAAGACTCTTCTCCCACCCCACTACCACACAGGAAAATACCAGCCTACTCTCTTCTCCCAGTGGCTTCGTATAGCCAACCCAAGCCTGGCTCCCCATGCAGGCATCTTTGCTTTCCCATGCTATATTGGTGGTGGCAGTAGTGTGAAGGAACATGCTGGGGCTTCTTGTCTTAGTCAGGGCACTGTGCCCTCTCATTTTAGATCCCTGAACTTAACTAGGGGATCCAACATTCATTCCATGGGACCTGAGGCAGGAACAAGGTGGCCTACATCTATAACATTCTATTTTTTGAGCATCTTTATAGGGAGGGCATAGGGTCAGTTACCTGTTTCTGCCTGAACGATGAGCCAATAATTTGAAATCTTTGTTTACTAGTTCTGCAGTGATGGGGTGCTTCTTTCTAGCTTCCTGAATGGCGAAGGTTCTTGGCAGAAATAGGGAGTCCAGGAAAATAGAACACAGTGTTTAATAAAAGCCCACTACCACTTTCTGTATGAATTTTTTAAAACTCAAGCAGGATCGCATCATACATGCTATTTGGAACCATACTTTTTTCACTTAGTCTGTCTGAAAATCTTTTCCTACAAGCAGCACTTTTGACTCTACTTCATTTGTTTAGTGACTTCATGATATTTCATCATATAGATATACTTTACCTTTTACTCATTCCCACATTGATGGATATTTGTTTCTGACCCCCCTTTTTTTTGGTTTTGATTCTGCAAACAGGGTTGTGGTGAACATCCTTGTATGTGCATCTTAAACATGTATTTCTGTATGTGAGAGTGCCCAGAAATGGAATTGCTTGATCTTAGGGAATGTGCGTTTTATTTTTTGTTTATGTTTTTGTTTTTGAGTTGGAGTCTCACTCTGTCGCCCAGACTGGAGTGCAGTGGCATGCTTCTGGCCACCTCAGTCTCGACCTGCAGGGCTCCAGCAATCCTTCCGCCTCAGCCTTCCAAGTAGCTGGAACTACAGGTGCGTGCTACCATGCCCGGCTAAACGTTTTATGTTTTGATGATTATTATTAATGGCCCTCCTAAGGGGATATACTAATTTACTCATCTACCAACTGTATATGAGAACATAGATCATTTAAAAAATAAATTGACCAGGTGCAGTGGATCACGCCTATATAATCCCAGTAATTTGGGAGGTCGAGGTGAGAGGATTCCCTGAGCCCATGGGTTCAACACCAGCCTGGGAAACTTAGAAAGACCTCATCTCTACAATAAATTAGAAAAATTAGTTGGGCATGATGGTGCATGCCTGTAGTTCCAGCTACTTGGAAGGCTGAAGCAGAAGGATCACCTGAGCCCAGAAGGTCGAGGCTGCAGTAGCCGTGAACATGCCACTGCACTCCAGCCTGGGTGACAGAGTGAGACTCCAACTCAAATAAATAAATAAATAAACAAAGAAACATAGAACTAAATAAATAAAACCTTGAGATTATTTCCAATTCATAAAAACTTCTGCTACAGGCTTGGAAAGTTCTCAGTGTGAAGTGTTAGGTTTTTTGGTGAGAAACTGCTATTTCCTAGAGGAACGTTACCATCTGTTGGCAGTCCTAAGAATTGCCCTGGAACAGATTTCTGTTGGGGCCTGATTTTTATGCCTTTGACAGCCTGTCAAGCTCCTCTTGATTGAGGACCTGCAAAGGGACTGTGAAGGACAGCAGTTCCTACTCCAGCAGCCTTCTCTGCAGCAGCTCTGCTTTCCATGAACACTAGCTCCTTCTTTGGCCCTACTGACATGACTTGGACCTTATCCTGCTTGGGCTACTCTCCTGGACCTCTCATTGCATTTGAGACACTTGTTTTTCTTTCAGCTGTACCATCCCACCTTAGGACCTTTGTCCATGATGTTCCCGCCTGGAACACACTATTTATTTTATAGTTTGCCAGTTTTATACTGAACAGTGCATTGTTTTGTTTTGAGAAATGGTCTCACACTGTCACTCAGGCTGGTGTACAGTGGTACAATCACAGCTCACCTCAACCTCAAACTCCTGGGCTCAGGTGATCCTTCCAACTTGGCTTCCTGAGTAACTGAGACTACAGGCATGTACTACCACACCTAGCTAATCTTTTGAATTTTTGTAGAGATGAGGTCTCACTATGTTACCTAGGCTGATCTCAAAGTCCTGGGCTCAAGCAGTTCTCCTGCCTTGGCTTCTTTTTTTTTTTTTCTGAGGTGGAGTCTCACTCCATCTCTCAGGCTGGAGTGCAGTGACATGCTCACGGCCACCCCAGCATCAAACTGCTGGGCTTCGGCAGTCCTTCCACCTCAGCCTTCCAGGAAGCTGGAACTACAGGCACACGCTACCACGCCCGACTAATTTTTTTATTTATTGTAGAGACGAGGTCTACCAAGTTGCCTGGGCTAGTCTCAAACCCCTGGACTGAGGCAATTCTCTCACCTTGGCCTCCCAAAGTGCGGGGTTTATAGACTTGAGCCACCACTCCCGGCCTGCCTTGGCTTCTTTTTTTTTTTTTTTTTTTTGAGTTGGAGTCTCACTCTGTTACCCATACTGGAATGCAGTGGCACGCTCCCGGCCACCGCAGCCTCAACCTTCTGGGCTCCGGGGATCCTTCCGCCTCAGCCTTCCAAGTAGCTGGAACTACAGGCGCGTGCTGCCACGCCTGGCTAATTTTTGATGTATTGTAGAGATGAGGTCTCGCCAATTTGCCCAGGAGGGTCTTGAACCCGCAGGCTCAGGCAATCCACTAACCTCAGCCTCCCAAAGCACGGGATGACAGGCTGAGCCACCGAGCCCGGCTGCCTTGGCTTCTTAAAGTGCTGAGATTACAGGCATGAGCCACTGTGCCAGGCTCACAATTATTTTTCAATTTGCTTAATTATTTTATTAAAGTCTGCTTCTCTCACTAGAATACTAGCTGTATGAGGACAAAGACCTAGCACAGTGCAGATGCTTAATACTCATTGAATGAACAAATAACACAGATTTTTCTTTAGCAGGACTCTAAAAGATCTCCCATATGTTTTGTTACCTTGATTGCATGTCTCCCTGATTACAAATCTTCTTTTCACTTGTGCAGATATTCTTACTTTTCTCCCTTCCTTGTCTGTTTTGTTGTTGATCTTTTGTTCTGAAATGGAAAAATATTTATTGTATTGCTGATTGAAAATTAATAAATGTTCTTTGTAAAATTCCAAACAGTGCAGAAATATATGGGGTAGAAAATGAAAGTCTTATCTTCCAGAAACCACTATTAATGATGTATAGCTTTCTAGACATTTTCTACACATATAGAAATCTGTTGAGTGATTATTATTTGCCAGATACTGTTCTAAAGCACTTTACAAAATTAAGTCATATAATCCTCACAGCAACCATCTGAGGTAGAACTATTATTATCCCATCTCACGGATGAGGAACTTGAGGAACAAGATGTCAGACAACTAATAAGTGTCAGAGCCAGGGCCTGAACCCAGGCTCCAGATTCATACTCTTGGCCACTATGCTAGTTTGTCTCTGATGTTGTGAGAAAGACACTCTCTACTATGTGTGCCCTTTTTATTTTAAATTTTGGACCTGGCTGGGCACAGTGGCTCATGCCTATAATCCCAGCACTTTGGGGGCCAAGGTGAGAGGATTGCCTGAGCCCACAGGTTTGAGATCAGCCTGGGCAACTTGGCAAGACCTCATCTCTACAATTAAAAAAAAAAAATTAGTGCGTGCCTCTAGTTCCGGCTACTTGGAAGGCTGAGGTGGAAGGATTGCCTGAGTCCAGCAGGTTGAGGCTGTGGTGGCCATGAGCATGCCACTGCCCTCCAGCCTGGGTGACAGAGTGAAACTCCAACTTAAAAGAAAAAAAACTTTTGGACCATAGGAATATACAGCATATTCAAAAACATGGATAATGCCAGGCAGCGGTGGCAAACATCTGTAGTCCCAGCTACTCAGGAGGCTGAGGTGGAGGATCACCTGAGCCCAGGAGTTGGAGGCCAGCCTGGACAACATAGTGAGACCCACATATCTTAAAGGAAAAAATAGATAAAAGACTTTTTAAAAACTCAACATAATATTTTTTGTACCCCAAGTTACCCTCCCTAGGTGACCCCTCTGAATTGTCAGAAACCACATTGTTGGGGGACTTTGCTTCAGGGGCTCAGGATATAGGCTGAAGGAAATGAGGTTGCAGGTTTGATGATAATACTTCCCCTGCATCTGTGCCATTCCCAGCATCTCTAGTTTCAGTGTGTTTGCTCTGAGGATCTCCAGTCTCATAACAAACACATACCAGCCCTGTTTTGCGAGGAGCCCTGGAGGAGTTGGGACAGAGGCCACATTGACCAAGGACAGTTGCCAGGGTCCTGCAGTTACACACAAAGGTCAGACTCTGATTCCTGGATGCCCTCCATTGGTCCTTGGCATGCTGCCTTTTCCTGTGGGTTGTGAGATTGCTGTTTGCTAGTCTGTGCTCCTCTCCAGCACCAGATTGCTATGCACCCCCCACCCCAGTATGGTGCTTTCTGTTTTGTGCAACTTTCCATATACCACATCTTCTTTGTGAAGTTCTTAGATAGACCATGGCCCTGAGAGCATGTGGCTTGATCATCTTCCGAAGACGCCTCATTCCCAAGGTGGACAACAATACAATTGAGTTTCTTCTGCTGCAGGCATCGGATGGCATTCATCACTGGACTCCTCCCAAAGGTGCGAGGCTATAGAGGTTGGCTTTTGGGAAACTGCCAAGCGTTGCTCAGAAATCTACCCTACCAGTCCCTTCCACGAGGCTTGATTCCCAGTGACTGCGTAGCAGGAAGGGGTGGGGTAGGCAGGATTCCTTGGATCCTTTCTACTTATAAGGTCTCCAGACCAGGCCAGAGTAGAACTGGAAATAGAATTCGGTGACCGAATTCCAGGACACAAGCAGTACCTGGTGTTTTTGTGAGTATCTTCTACCAGCTCTCCAGCCTCTGTAATAAATGACTGGGGAGGAGAAAGCCACTGGGCAGGGAATTGAGGACCTCAGGATTGAATCATGGCAGAGCTGTGTACCCATCTCCCTGGGCTGTTTTTCATCTGTCAAACAAGAGGTTGACTAGAAAATACTAAGTTTTGTTTCAGCCCTAACTGTCTCTGATTCTATTTGATCAAGTTTCTTTGACTCCTGGCTTTTCTTTTGAACTAAACACACAGAGTATGACTTCTGAAGTCTTTTTGAACATAGTTGTATTTTGAGTAGTAACACAGATGAGGTGGGTTCCCTGATCATAGATTCATCTGCAAACTCTGGCAGGAGTAGAGGAGTAAGGGGATGGGAGGGCCCTTCTCAGACCAGGAAGTTGTGAAGATTTAACAAACCCCAAGGTCTCTATGTCCTGGGTCCATCATTCAGTAATTCAGAGGGCAGAACAGTGAAGATTAGTGGCCTGAGGCCTTACCCCAGACCAAGATCTGTCTGTAAGCTGGGTATTTTTCATCCATCAGCATTCCTGACCTCCTCCTCTAAGAGTAAGATAGCTGCAGTCAGATGGTCATGGAAGAGAAGCCAAGCTGTGTGGGGAGAAGTGGGGAAAAGGAGCCTCCTTGGCTGAGGCCATTGGGATGGTCCCATTGGGCAGGGACAGACTATGGCTTTGGCACCTGCTGGGATGAGGAGCCCAGAGTGAACAGCCCCCAGACAGAAGGAAGCAGGGACTTTAAAAAGTAGCCGGGCTCGGTGGCTCAGCCTGTAATCCCGCGCCTTGGGAGGCTGAAGTGAGTGGATTGCCTGAGCCTACGGGTTCGAGACCCACCCAGGCAAGTTGGTGAGACCTCATCTCTACAATAAATCAAAAAAAAAAAAAAAAATTAGCCGGGCATGGTAGTGCATGCCTGTAGTTCCAGCTACTTGGAAGACTGAGGTGGAAGGATCACTGGAGCCCAGCAGGTCGAGGCTGCGGTGGCCGGGAGCAGCCACTGCACTCCAGTCTGGGCGACAGAGTGAGACTCCAACTCAAAAAAAAAAAGGAGTGGGGTGGGGAGGGGTGGAATCCAAGGTTGAAGGAAAGCAAGGGAATGGGAACAGGAAATAAATTCTGCACATTTGAGTTGTATTGGGGAGAAACAAGATGAAAAAGGAGATAGAAGTGTCACAAATACTATGAATAGGAATATTCACACTTGTCTCCTGATCACCAAAGTAACACTGCATGGTTCTTCTCACTACATGATGTCAGCAGACCTCTCCTAATCCTTTCCTACCTGGGGAGAAGTTGCTGTGTTAACATTGTTGGGCAGAATACTGAATAGATGTTCCTGGAGGGGTGTGCTGAGAAACTCCCACACACCTCTGAGGGGAAGTGGGGTATCCTGAATCGGTTACATTTGTCACCACTAGCATCCCTCTCACCTCCTTCCCCAAAGCACTACCTGTCTGTCATTGTGTACATGGCTATAGGAGGCACCATGAAGAGAAAACTACTCATAAGTTGTGAGCTAGAATTTTTTGTTTTCTTTTTCTGAGTCGGAGTCTCACTGTTACCCAAACTGGAGTGCAGTGTCACACTCATGGCCACTGCAGCCTCAACCTGCTGGGCTCAGGTGATCCTTCTGCCTCAGCCTTTCTTCTTTTTTCTTTTTTCTTTTTTTTTGGTCATGTTGTCTGCAAACAGGGACAATTTGATTTATTCTTTTCCTTTTTCTTTTAAATTATGTGGTACCCTTGTTGATCTGCTTCAACCTTTCAAATTGCTAAAACTACAGGAGTACGCCACCTCGCCTGGCTAATTTTTTGGTTTATTGTAGAGACAGGGTCTCTCAAAGTTGCCCAGGCTGATCTCAAACCCTCTCACTTCCATCTCCCGGAGTGCTGGAATTACAGGAGTGAGCCGCTGTGCCTAGCAGAATGGTTTTTAAGTGCTAATCTCCCTGTTGTCTTATGTGCGGCAGCAACTGACCCAGAGCCCTGTAGGCCCCTGTGAAGAAGGAGGGCCCCATCCCCAACCAAGGGGGAAACAGCTAAAAGTTCCTGCTCCCCATGAGCTCCTGAACCAGGAGGCTCCTCCCTCCCCCCAATAACTTGCCAGAGCCATGTGTAGACAGAGGCTGCCAGATGCTCCCCAGTTCTTCTTGGCCCCTCTGGGAAGCTGAGAATTTGTGGGAAGGGCCTAGAGGTAAAGCCGAGGGCTGCTCTAGTCTGCAGAGCTTCATGTTCTCCCATAACAGTTTTTTGGCAGCTGCTTGGATTTGGGTCTTGCCAACACATTTTCTTAGAACTGGCTCTTAGCTTCTCTGTAGTCTAAGTTCCCATCAGGACTTTCCCTATGAAACTGAAATCTGGCCTTGCTCAGGAAGAAAGATGAAAACAATTTGGAAAAAGCCTTGATAGCTACTTGGAAGCAGCTGCTAGTACAGCAGTGCAGGGTTTTGAGCTTGTCTGTTGGCCCTGGGACTTCAGGATCCAACTGTAGACAGTGTTAAGTCCTTACTGGATTGTAGACAAAGTATTCCCTCTTTAGCTAGCTTTCACCTGCTATGAAGGGACTGCCTGCCCCTTCTTGGAAAGATTACTTTAAGATCTCTGGTAGGGAAGTGTTTCCTCAGAACGTGGGATGAGGAGAGCTTCAAAGAATAAGAAAGAAGACTGGGCGTGGTGGTTCAGCCTGTAATCCCAGCACTTTGGGAGGCTGAGGCGAGAGGATTGCCTGAGCCTGGGGGTTTGAGACCAGCCTGGGCAACTTGGTAAGACCTCATCTTTACAATAAATCACAAAAACTAGCTGGGTGTGGTGGTGCATGCCTGTAGTTCCAGCTACTTGGAAAACTGAGGCAGAAGGATCACCTTAGCCCAGCAGGTTAAGGCTGCAGTGGCAGTGAGTGTGCCACTGCACTCCAGCCTGGGCAACAAGAGTAAGACTCCAACTCAAAAAAGCATAAGAGGCCGGGCTCGGTGGCTCAGCCTGTAATCCCGCGCCTTTGGGAGGCTGAGGTGAGTGGATTGCCTGAGCCCGTGGGTTCGAGACCCGCCTGGGCAGGTGAGACCTTATCTCTACAATAAATCAAAAAAAAAAAAAAATTAGCCGGGCGTGGTAGCACATGCCTGTAATTCCGGCTACTCGGAAGGCTGAGGCGGAAGGATCACTGGAGCCCAGCAGGTCGAGGCTGCGGTGGCCGGGAGCGGCCACTGCACTCCAATCTGGGCGACAGAGTGAGACTCCAACTCAAAAAAAAAAAAAAAAAAAAAAGCATAAGAAAGCAGAGGTCTGAAGGAAGTCATCTCTCTCACCTCAATTGAAGAGCAGTATTCTAAACCTGATCTGCCAAGCACATAGTCTGTTTCAGTGAAGATGAGGTGGGAAGGAGGGATGATTGTAGAGAAGATGAGGTGGGAAGGAGGGATGATTGCTCAGACCCTGAGAATCAGATACTACCTGCCCTCCATTCCCTTCCCAGGCATGTTAGGATAATGCCAGCCTCCAGGCTTCCTTTAGCCTAGGAACACCTAGAAAAGTCACTGGAGATCCCATTTTTAAATCATATGGCCTGGAAAATTTTGCTTTGGGGACCTTGGAAAATTTTGCTCCTTCTTCCCTCTTTTCTCCTAACTAGGCCATGTGGAACCAGGAGAGAATGACTTGGAAACAGCCCTAAGAGAAACTCGGGAGGAAGCAGGCATAGATGCAGGACAGCTGACCATCATTGAAGGGTTCAAAAGGGAGCTCAATTATGTGGCCAGAGAGAAGCCTAAAACAGTCATTTACTGGCTGGCAGAAGTGAAGGACTACAACGTGAAGATCCGCCTCTCCCATGAGCACCAAGCCTACCGCTGGTTGGGGCTGGACGAGGCCTGCCAGTTGGCTCAGTTCAAGGAGATGAAGGCAGCACTCCAAGAAGGACACCAGTTTCTCTGCTCCACAAAGGCCTGAACTGACTGGAATAGAGTCATTTGCTTCAGTAGGATCCTTGAGGGCTTTCTGAGATGAACCCACCCTCAGGTCCAAGGAAGGTGTGCTTGTCTTTGGCTCATTGCAGGCAAGAGCAGATAGGTAGCAAAATCAGCTCAGGACTCTGAGGTGAGAGCAAGCAGAAATCTCAACTGGGTAGAAAGGAGGACAAAGGAGGAGTAAAATTTAGAAAGGCGAGGCCCAGTAAGTATATCCTTGTATTTTGTAAATAAACCTCAAGCAGCTTATCTATCCTTCCAACCTGTTGTGTTTATTTCTTGGGCTCTTGTCATTGGTGAGGAGAAGAAAGCTAAAGTGAATCAGAGCTCTGACCTTAACCAGAGGGAATCCTGTGTCCATGCACTAGGCCACAGAGAAGCAAAGGGGTAGGGAGTTGGCATGGAAGAGGCCCAGTACTGCCAGGGTGGGTCTCCTGCCTCTGGAACTCCAAGCAATCTGCCCCACCCCCACCAGTGTCTCCAAGACTTTGTAACCCAGTCAGAGTCAAGCAAGTGGGACTTTAGCACAGGAAGGAATCGGGTCTGTTCTATTCACTGATGTATCTCTCCCCAGCACCAGACACATATGTTGTAGATGCTCAGTAAATATTTCTTTTCTTTTCTTTTTTCTTTTTGAGTTGGAGTCTCACTTTGTCGCCCAGGCTGGAGTGCAGTGGCATGCTGCTTATGGCCACTGCAGCCTTGACCTGCTAGGCTCAGCAGTCCTTCCACCTCAGCCTTCCAAGGAGCTGGAACTACAGGCATGAGCCACTACACCCGACTAATTTTTTTGATTTATTGTAGAGACAAGGTCTTGCCATGTTGCCCAGGCTGGTCTCGAACCCGTGGGCTCAGGCGGTCCTCTCGCCTCTGCCTCCCAAAGTGCTGGGATTACAGGCATGAGCCACTGCACCCAACAGTAAATATTTCCTTAATTTGTTAGAGACCAGATGACCTTTGGGCTTCTCAGGTCACAAGAGAGAAAGGAGGGACAGGCAACCCTTGACCTTCAACAAGGTCAGTGGTGACACATGCACTCTGCCCTCTCAGTCCAGGCCTGCCTCCCAGAATGATGGGCCTTGTCAACATGACTAAAGTCACTGGAAATGAGTCGAGCCCAGGCCCACAGGGCTCTGCTGAGCCACCTGGCAGCCACATCACTACACCTGTGCATTCCTTGCCTGCAGCTTCCTTCTCTGTGTTCAGCAAAACCCCATCATTAATGTTTTTCTCCTTTCACCTACTCCCTTTCTCTACAACTCCACTGTAAGACCCAGAGGTGCAAGAGTTGGGTCTCAGCCCTGTTTTCCCTTGCTACTAGGGCTCAAGGAATGCAGGGGCAGGCGTTAGAACCCACAGCCCTTCCAGGAGCTGTTAGCAGCTGGGTTCATGTGGATTTTATTAGCTGGTTATTGCCCACTGAAGTGCAGAAGATTGAAAGGGAAGGGGCATTGGCAAAGGTCAACCTGGATTACCAGGGTCAAGAACAGCCACTCCTAAAGGAAGGAGAGAGAAGTTGCCTCGGTCTTAAATAGGCTTCCAGATGTTTTTAGTCACTGGTTCTCTGTGCAGACAGGGCAAGAATACTAGCGAACAGGATCTTGGAGCACAGCCAGGGACCTGAATGGTTTTGTTCCTCACCCCTCTGAGCAGCATTCGCCGAAGGAGGCCTGCTGCAGGAAGTTTTTGGAGCTTAATGTTCTCTTTCCAGGCCAGCAGGGACCACATCCCACTGATTTAATAAATGCCTGCTGGGCAGTGGTGCCAAACCACAGATGAGCTGCCTCCTAACAAGGGCTGGCTGGCCCTGTGCTCTCAGAATGAGAGGCTGTGGAATCTCAAGACTCTAAGACCTTATACATCAAAGTTGGAAGGGGCCTAGAAAGTGATCCGGCTTTGCTGCCTTTTTTTTTTTTTTTTTTTTTTTTTTTAGTCGGAATCTCACTCTGTCACCCAGGCTAGAGTGCAGTTGCATGATCATGCAGGCTCGACCTGATGGGCTCAAGTGATCCTTCTGCCTCAGCCTTCCAAGTAGCTGGAACTATAGACACGCACTACCATGCTTGTCTAATTTTTGAAATTTATTGTAGAGAGGAGGTCTCACCAAGTTGCCCAGGCTGGTCTTGAACCCCTGGGCTCAGGCATTCCTCTCGCCTCTGCCTCCCAAAGTTTTGCTGTTCATTTATTATTATTATTATTCGAGTTGGAGTCTCACTCTGTCGCCCAGGTTATAGTGCAGTGGCACACTCATGGCCACCCCAGTGTCAACCTGCTGGGCTCTGGCAATCCTTCCGTCTCAGCCTTCCAAATAGCCAGAATTACAGGCGTGCGCTACCACACCTGGCTAATTTTTGATTTATTGTAGAGATGAGTTCTCGTCAAGTTGCCTGGCTGGTCTCGAACCCACGGGCTCAGGCAATCCACTCACCTTGGCCTCCCAAAGTGCTGGGATTACAGGCTGAGCCACCGAGCCTGGCCTGCTGTTCATTTTTATTTCTGGGAAATTTGAGGCCAGACAAGATGGACTTGGTAGTATCTATATGTGGGGTGGTTTGAGGATGGAGCACCAGAGTGAAGACTGCTTTTGAGTATCTTATATATTAATAACTTATTTCTCTAGACCTTACAGAGTGTTCCATTAAAACATAGGTACTTTGCTGGGCGTGGTGGCTCAGTCTGGGCAACTTGGTGAGATCTTGTCTCTACAATAAATCAAAAAATGAGGGGTGGGGGCAAAAAAAAAAATTAGCTGAGCATGGTGGCACATACCTGTAGTTACAGCTGCTTGGAAGGCTGAGGCGGAAGGATAGCCTGAGCCCAGCAGGTCGAGGCTGCAGTGGCTGTGAACATGCCACTGCACTCCAACCTGGGCAACAGAGTGAGACAACAACAACAACAAAACATAGGTACTTTGGTGAATTGGTGCCCCATAAATCATATTCTTTGCAGGAATAATTGACAGCAGGGTAGATCCAAGGCATGTTACGGGAGGTGGATGAGGGTGGGAGAGAGAGGAACTGAGATTGGGATGTGGTAGGTGAGTAGGCTTTGTCAGCATCACCACTTTGCTTTTGGCCAATGGGACTTGTTCAGTTGGAACTCAGAAACCCCAGAGCATTACAGAGTCTACCTTTCTTATCCCTCCATACTCCTTTCAATTGGCAAAGAAGTACTCTGCTGATGCTGCACTTTGGGTTGGGCCAGGCCTCAGAGGGACCTCAGCAGAGTTGTACAAGTTTAGGAGATGCTTCCATGTTGAATGTTTCTTCCAGAGGATGGGGCTACTCAGGACTACTCTGAAGCTAGGGAAGACACCTGTTCCCGTCCCTTTGAGGGAGAGTTCCCTGCAAAACTGCCTCCTTTACATTTCTTTCACCCCACCCAGAGTCAACCATGGTGTTTATTCCCAGGGACAGTTGGGAACTTCTCCTTCTCTAGTTAGTTGAAAGTCTTTTCAAATGGCCTAGCTTCTCTGGTAGAAGTCAGAGAGTACAATGGTGAAGAACTATTGGGAAGCTCTGTTTAAAAGTTAAGGATGAAAGCTGGGCCCGGTGGCTCAGTCTGTAATCCCGCGCCTTTGGGAGGCTGAGGTGAGTGGATTGCCTGAGCCCGCGGGTTCGAGACCCGCCTGGGCAGCGAGACCTCATCTCTACAATAAATCAAAAAATCAGCCGGGCATGGTAGCGCATGCCTGTAATTCCGGCTACTCGGAAGGCTGAGGCGGAAGGATTGCCGGATCCCAGCAGGTCGAGGCTGCAGTGGCCGGAAGCGGCCACTGCACTCCAGTCTGGGCGACAGAGCGAGACTCCAACTCAAAAAAAAAAAAAAAAAAGTTAAGGATGAGAACCAGGGTAATGTTAATATGGATCAGATATTAGATAATGTTAGCAAATTAGTATTAATTTTCTTAGGTATAAAAAATAGCTATGTAGGAAAATGACCTTTTCTTAGGAGATGCGTGCTGAAGAATTTAGGATGAAGTGCCACAATGTCTGCAATTTACTTTGAAATGGTACAGAAAAAAAATACCTACGTATATAAATAAGGCAAATATGAGAAAACTTTGACAACTGTTGACCCAGGATGGTGATGTAGAGGTGTTCATTATACTAGACATAACCCTTCTGAATGTATAAAATTTTTCATGAGAAAATTTGGGAAACTTTTCTGTATGTATGAAATTTTTTCATAAGAAAATTTGGGATCTCAACAAGGCAGCAAAACCATGAGTATTAAAAAGGAAAAAGAGAGCCAGGCAAGGTGGCCTGCACCTGTAATCCCAGCTACCTGGGAGACTAGGCGGGAAGATCACTGGAGCCCAGCCTGGCAACATAGTGAGACCTTGTCTCTATAAGACCAAAAAAAAAAAAAAGGAAAAGGAAAAAAAGGTGAGAAGGTAATTGTCAAGAGTGGTTGTTTCTGGGTGAGGAAGCAAGGGATGATATTGTCCTTTCCTTTCTACTTTTATAAATTTTCCTGATTTCCTAGAATGACAGTTTTGTTGCCTTTGTATAAATAATGATTTTAAAATATTTTATTTATATTTAAACGTGACTAAAAATGATAGCTTGAAAAGAGACTTTGTTACTTCTAAGGAAAAAAACCGACATGAGCAGAAAATGTTCAGAGTTGTTTGTGAGCAGATTTTTAATTTTTAACAGGGTTTATACTTCATAGGACTGGGAGATAGGAAAGGAGGTAAAATCTATTCCCAGTTGGAAAAGGAAATTCATGTCACAGTTATTCTTTCCTCCAGTTGGACCAAGCCCCAGGCAGAAACAAACAATGGGTAATTAATGTATGTTGACTATAAGGGTGAAATGAGCAAATGTAACAAAGGTCACCCAGTAAGCTCTATGGTTAAAATCAGAATTCTGTTTATTCTAGAAGACTTAAAAAAAAAAATCATGAGATATAATTTATATATTATTAGATTTACCCTTTCAAAGATACAATTGAGTGGTTTTTAGTTTACAGAGTTGTGCAGTTGTCACCACCACTATCTAATTCTAGAAGATTCTCATCACTTCAAAAGAAATCCCCATACACACTAGCAATCATTTTCAATTCCCTCTGTCCCCAAACCCTCCAGTTACTGGCTACCTCTGACTACTTTTTTTTTTTTTTTTGAGTTGGAGTCTCACTTTGTCACCCAGGCTGGAGGGCAGTGGCACACTCATGGCCACTGCATCCTCAACCTGGTCAGGTGATCCTTCTGCCTCATCCTTCCAAGTAGCTGTAACTGCAGGCGTGTGCCAC